CAAGCAGCTAAATATCAGAGAGACACGAGGAGTCGTCACACACACGCATAAGTGTAAATCACCGCTTTTTCATACAAAAAATATCCAGAGTTAAACATCAAATCATAAACGAGTCAACACAGAGCGAACGATGAGAGAATCACGTCAAAAACAAGCTGGATGCTTCATGAGTGTGAACGCCATCCAGGGTTATTATAATTAGCTAAAACCATCATTTTATTTTGTTTTGATGTATTTTAAATTATTTTTTATTTTTTTTTATTCTTTGCTTTTATTGCTATTTTTATTTTTATATATCTTTTGTGATTATTAAATTTTTTTTTTAAATGTAAAACACTTTGATTACCATTGTGCATGAAATGTGATGTATAAATAAAATTGCTTGCTAAAACTTAAACCATAAAACAACATTTTAATGGACTTATTCATGGTTACATTTTAAACGTGTTTTAGCCAATATACACTTTTAAAATTTCACCCAGACAGCGTCTGTAAACCAGCAGGATCAAACCAAAACCTGATGAATCAGAATCAGGGAACTGTGAAATGAAATCATAAAAATGTAAAAAAAAAAAATGAGTTGAGAAGCTAATAATTAATGAATTCCTAAAAAATAAAACAACAATAACTAATTTATAACAAAAGCAATCAAAATGAATTGATGAGAAGTTAATGAATTCATAAGAAATAAAATAAAAATGAATAATTTAAAAATAAAAACAACCTAAATAAGTTGATGAGAAGCTAATAATTAATGAAATCATTAAAATGTGAAATGAAAATAAGCTTAAAATGAAAATCTAAACGAGTCGATAAGAAGATAATAATTAAATTATACATATCAAATTTAAATAAATTTAAAATAAAAAAATTAAAGATTAAAAAACAAAGCACTCCACGTGCTAAAAAAGAGGAAATATTTTATTTGTTTACCTGCATGTCATGTGACGTGTGTTGAAATGTTGACTTAAAATCTAGTTATTTACTAGTACGTTATTTTATTACTAAATTTGATAAAAAATAGATGCAAAGTAACAAAATGTATTTGTGTTTCATTTTATCTTCAGATTGGTCAACGCTGTCAGGCAATACACAGCAACAGAAACAAGTGGACAGATGTGTGTGTGTGTGTGTGTGTGAAATATGTTTGTTTGTGTTGCTGTAAACTCATATTCACTCTGTAATTCACTTACATCCACACACACAATAAACAATCACACAATAATAATTGAAGTCGACTCTCTACATAATTTCTAGCCGTTATTATTTTTACATGTTATATTACAGCACACAACCAGCTGAGGCCCTGCGTGTGTGTGTGTGTGTGTGTGTGTGTGTGTGTGTGTGTGAGTGAGTGT